TGATATAAGGTCTCCTGCCGTGGGCAGAGGTTTGGAGTAGAAGACCTCCAAGAGTCCTTCCAGTCCTATGATTCTATGATTCTAAGTGTCACTAATACATGGAACTGTCAAGCTAAGATTCATTTCTTTCAGAAAGTGTCACAACTGGCATAGTACCTTCAGCTCATACAAATTATCCCCAGGCGTAGAAGACACCTTAAGTTCCCCACTTAGCTAGAGTTCCCAAAGTGCTCATTTCGACCTGTTTGGAAAAGCAGCCTCATCTAACACTAAATATAATTGTCAGCTAGCTACTTTACATCCCCAGTAACCTCTAATCTTGCCTTGTCCAGATTAGGTTTCATCTTCTGAACTCTCACCCAGACATCTGTTCAAGCAGTCTAGTGTTTCTCTACAGGAAAATAATTAGTGAATCTTATAAGCCTCAGCTCAAATACTGAATGACTCCTTGGTGGACTCATCTGTGAACAGTTGACTTCCACCCCTCCTCTTCAGGTCTGCAGTAATACAAATAAGCAAGCTCTTTTAGAATTTGACAGGAGATAACCCCTTCCTGTTCTCTGACTTAGCATTCACCAGAAGCTCCAAAGACTGTAGGCAAGTACCCAGAATTACTGAGGCTGGGAGACAAACCAGAAGGGAAAGCATTATTTAGTTAGATTTTTCACTGTCATAGCATCCTCAGAAAGTAAGATCACATTTTCTCACCTATAAAACTTGTAATGCTCAAAAATGGATTTTCTGGATGAACCTAGATTTTCTGGACAGTGAACTGGCAGAAGTCAATATTAAATCCTGTTACGTCAGGCCCTAACTCACTAGATAAAGCTTTATCATGTCAAATGATTCTACCAGTTCTTAACTTCCTAGCCGCTTCGTTCTAAGAAGCACTAGAAAGATAAATAATTCCCAACGACTAGCAATGCTAATTGTGGCTGATAGGCACTGGAGACCATCAGCTGGAGACTCAAGGCTTCTCAGGCTAAAGCATCTTGAGGTGCTTCTGTGTGCATGGATTGTTCTGATCAGCTCACTACCTCTCCTTATGCTGCTGTAGGGCTTGCATAAGGCATCACAGTACAAGTCAAACTAGCAGTTGTTCTAAAAACGTTGCCTCAAGTTGCAGACAGGCCAGCTTCCCATGATGGAAATTTCCCCCCTCCCATTACTCAAGGGCCAGCTTCCCATTGGTGGGAATTCCCACTGCTCCTCAAGGTTCTCTTCTCCTTGTAGCCACAGTACTTTATTTCCTACATCCATTTTTCCTGGCTGCTCTGGCAGCTGCAGAGCAGCCTCTTGGGGTTTTTTTCCCTTCACCATGAAAAGCAGCAAGAATATTTTCAAAGCAGCACAAGACCGTTAGGGAGAACATGAGATTTGAAGCCAATGCCCATGTGAATACTTTTTTAAGGGAAGGAGATTGCACAAACTTGCTGAGCTTATTTTAGGCATGAATTCTATTTCACTGAGAAATGTTTCCTCGCCTTTATTCCATAATGTCCTTTTTTGCTGGCTGGGGAATTCTAAGAGTTGAAGTCCACACATTTTAAATCAAGGTTGAGAAACATTGCACTAAGTGTCTGCAATTAAGTGATCCATCAAAATTTGTAGTTCTGCTTTGAATCCCTCAAATTTCTCAACTAAATTCTTCTCTCTCAGAGCCAGCTCAGGAACACATCCAGTCACAGACTGGTCAAAGAATATAAGTCCAGTTGTATGTTTTATTTATTTTCATCTTCCTATTATTTACAACATAAATATTTTGAGTGCTTCAGAATCGAGCCTTTCTTCAGCGAGAACTAATGACATACACGGCCTCAGCTGAGTGTTGAATGTCAAAGATTTAATGCTTTCTTTCATTTCATCTTGGAATTTGGCTCAACTTTTTCGATAAATCAAGCTTAACATTGATCTCAGTCACCACCATATCAAGGCTTTCCCTGCTGTTGCCATTTATTTTTTAGAAGGCTTAACAGCTGCAAAATATATAAATAATGGTGACAAAGTACAAAGTGAATGCATCTCTGATGAAAGCAGTAAAACTTTTAAAAAAGGAGGATGCTTAAGTATTTTGCACAGGGAACTGCTGATAGATTAATATACAATTTCATTAGAATCTCACTATATATTACCTAAAAACCCACAATAAAATATTAAAGAAAATTATTGTCCAATTCCTATGTTTTCTCCCTTACTTTTATAAAATGAAAGGATTCAGACAATTTTCTAAATGCATCTCTTGTTTGTGGCATGCTTGCTCTGGGCAGGAATACTTGTATATATTCTGTAGTATTATGCAACATATAATAAGGTCACCAAAATGGTCCCATCAGGATTAATGCGGTATGTAGAGAGTAAGGAATATGATTTTGACAAAGATAAGCAAGCTCTGTTATCAAAGCAGTAGTGAAACCTTAAGTCCATAACAACAACAAAAATATTTGGAAGTGGCTGAAGCAGACACTTCACTAATTCACAGGAGTACAATAGTGGGGAGGAGGTACAGCACAACGAGACTTGTAAGATTCTGTAATTATAGCCAATCTCAAGAAAAGTAGTTTTATCTCTCCTGTCCTGGTCTACATGGTGGGGCTAACAGGATACTTCCACCTAGTCTTAATTACAACAAATATATGGAAGTTGGCCTGCTGTAAGTCAATGAGCTATAATAGGGGCGTCAAACTCACCGCGTCACGTGATATGTCACGACATATCGGGACTTTTTTCCCCTTGCCGGAGCTGGGGTGGCTGCGGCTTCTGCGTGACGCATCCGGCCCGCAGGCTGGCAGTTTGACACCCCTGGTCTATAACATCTTTATTTCCAAGAAGGCCACTGGATCCCACACAACTTCATAAGAGTATTTCATAAATAGTAATGATAGATTACAGATTTTCTGAAAATGTTCTCCTTGAACCAGGAAATAAGTCTAGAGCAGGGGTGTCAAACTCGCTGCATCATGTGATGTGTCGCGACGTATCGCGACTTTTTCCCCTTGCCAGAGCTGGGGTGGGTGCGGCTTCCACGTGACGCATCTGGCCCGCAGGCCGGCAGTTTGACACCCCTGGTCTAGAGTAAAATAGAATATGAAACGATCTGTGTGGGCTAGAGGAAATGACAGGAAATATTATCTAGTAAATAGGCATTTTATGCCTGGCCATATCCATATTGTAGCCATGTTATGAATATCTATATCCTACAATAGTAATCATTCTATGAAATCACACATGACATGATCTCAAAATTTTATATGTACCCAATAGAACAGTGTGGGAATATTTCATGTGTGCTTCCTTGTCACTGCCTCTAAATTATCTAATGTAGTGTATAGATCTCCTCCCTGTTTTTGAGCCCATATCATCCCCTTTTCCCCCTTCTCAGTATATATAAAATGCAATACTATTCACGAGAAATGCTCTCTGTTTTTATACGTAGAGACATGCAAGGCACATCATAATCTTAATTGTTTAATTCATAGCAGATCTATTCTGCTACAAAAACATTATGTTTTTAAAAACCCTGAAGGATAATATATGTGACAAAGATGGTAGGGAACAATAATAATAAAATCTATTTTTCTTGCAATTATAGGAAAGCTACATCCTAAACTGGAGAACAGAGTAGGTCAAGTGTTTTAAGGTCTCTCTGGATTTCTCTCCTTACATTGTACATCATCACTTCTTTCAGTGGTTTGCATGTATTAACTGTTTAGTATATAAGATGCTTGGGTAATAAAACTATGGTTAAGTGAAGACTTAGCATCAGATTCCTTAGAGGTTTCTCAAATTACTGTCATCTAAGAGGCCTATCACATCCCTTTTCATGTAACTTAATAAATACTAAATGTCCAGTTTTTTCTGCTTTCTGGGTGTCCACATATCTTTTTAACAATGGCCACTAGAGAGTTTTCTATTCAGGCCTCTAAAGTCTACCAACCTTTCTGCAGTTTGCTAGTTCAATGTCAAAGAGATATGGACTGAACTGCGGAGGAGGTTCATAATTAAGTTTGGCTTCTGCCAATATTAGTAACCATATTTACTTATTAAAACATCCAAGAGAAAAGGATGCACCACTAAAGTAATGCAAATTTACCCTAAAAATATAGCATTAAGAAAAAGCAATAAAATACTGGTTCCACAGATAAACTCTGTGTTTCTACCTACTTTGCACAAGTCGAGAAGGGAGGAGAAAGATCAGAAAAGAGAATACAGAAAAAGACATATCCCAGGATCTGATCCCTGTGTTAATATCTAAATACATTGCTACTACTTGACACGTTCTAGGAACCCTCAGTATACAATTTCATACAGCAGGAATGAATTCACATCTTGTCAGGGAGAAAGAGCAAGGGTCATGTTACTATAAATAAGTAAGACACTCTTTTCCAAGAAACCAGAGATATGCTTACCCAGCAGCCTTCTCTCAACAAAATACCCTCCAGATGGTGAGACTGCAATTCCACACACATATGGAGAGCATCAGGTTGGGACTGTTCTGCTGCCACCTGAAAGCTTCTATTACTCGAACAACAGTCAAATCTAGAGTAGCACCACAAAGTGAGGAAAGTGGAAACCTGGTCTCCAATTAATCTCTAGAATGCATCACAATCAGGTACCGCCATGACAAGCCAATTAAGCTATTGCATTCATCTGATGTCCATGCCCCCAAACACAGGCAATTCCTAAACTATCTTTTATTTACAAAACGTGTATCTTGAGGATCCAATTAGCCAGTTTGCAGTGGGAGTTGCATGATGTGTATTTTCATCCTAGGCAATTCATTATTTGAAACAAAAACGCTAGGATCACGCTGATGATTTTAGAGCATATGCAACCATACGGTAAGTTTTCCCCACTCCCCAAGTTATTAAAAATATTAAAATTCTCAGAAAGTACAAATTAAAAACGTCTTCCATAGGAGTCAGTATTTTTTTTTTTTTTTGCTTCTAGCCCCTGTCCATCTCCTAGATCTCCTGCTAACTCGGTTCCTTCAAAAACAGATAGACATACAGCCTACTATGGGGCTTTTTTAAGTCAAAAGCATTCTACTTCTGTGTGGGCTGAAAAACAGCACAGAAAGGGCTTTTACTCTTACTTTGCAAAATGTATCTTCCCTTGCCACTAAGTAGAACAATGAATAACTGGTGGAAGATCTATTTAATTTTTTTTTGTTTAGTTAGTGTATTTAGTTCCTGATATAATTCAAAGAAATGGCTATCCTCTAATCCACAGGATGCCACCCCAAGTAAATAAATACCTTGGAAAATTTGCACTTTGTACCCTCTGCATTCCCTCCCACACTGCACATCTTATAGGTAGTGTTGGTTCAAATGCTCTCCACCAAATGGTCCACAAATGAGAAGATCTTTATACTCTGATTTGGTAACCGTTAAGATCGGGCATGGCTTTGGGTTCTGTAGGTTTCTTGTCTCCAGATGGTCTGCACAATGAAAAGAAGAAGAAGAAAAAAAAAGGAAATGAGCAAATGAAAAGAGGTTGCACAGTCTAACAAAAAAAAAGTCTTAACTATTTTAGTATTTAAATTGTTACAGTTATCTGTAGTGCTTAGCTAGGTAATCAACCCACATATTCTTCAAGGAACATTCTGGACATAATTAAAGCAGAGTTCTTAAAGCTCTGACATGGCAAAAGCACCTTTCCTTCTATGAGTCATACAATAGGTCAGGAAGAGGTTTGTCATCCTTTTCTTGCTTGAATGGGGGGGGGCATGAGAGAGAGGCTGGAAGCAGTGCCTGTTTCCTTCTATTAATGAGCTTTCATTATGACAATGAGCTCACAATACAAGAATGCAATGGGTGAAGGCCATTTCTTGCAGATGGCCTCTGCTATTTTTCTGTGATGAGTATTCACTGAAGGGAGGAGTTTGTGCAATGCTTTCCAAGGATATCCATATCTATTCTAACTCAGATTTCTAACAAACACCCTTGTTGGGAATAGCACCACTCAGCAAAGAACATAATTGCATGTAAGGTAAAGGTAAAGGTTTACCTGTCCAGTTATTTCCGACTCTAGGGGGTGATGCTCATCTCCGTTTCTTAGCCAAGGAAACCAGTGTTGTGTGACAACATTTTCCATGGTCACGTGGCCAGCATGACTATATGCCGAGGCACATGAAACGCTGCTACCTTCCCACCAAAGTGGTACCTATTAATCTACTTGCATTTGCCTGCTTTCTAACTGCTAGGTGGGCAGGATCTGAGGCAAGTGATGGAAGCTCACCCCATCGTGCAGCACTCAGGTCTCGAACCCAGACAGTCAGCTTTCCAGCTGACAAGCTCAGCATCTTTAACCACTGAGCCATTGTGTCCCCTGGAATTGCATGTAAATATGCAAAATATTGCTCTCTTGGAAAGAGGCTATAATTCAGTTAATGGTCGTTCTCTAAAATCCGTGAGATTGATCATTCAATCAATCATTTAATTTCAAACTGTCACTGGGAGCAATAACCAAACAGGCTGCTTAAAAGTGGAAAGAAAAAGTACGTGCGAAGTGTATATACTGATACAAGAAGAATTATGTAAAATATGTCTCTACACACATAAGACAAAAAGTTATATGCACTTAAATTATAGCAAAAACCAGGAAACCAAAAACTACATAAAGGTAAAACAAAGTATAGCGGGCTTACCGCCTTTCTGTCCGGCTATTGCGGCGATGTGGACTGGATTGGTTACGCTGTGGGGATGGTACATCCTTTTTCCTATCCTTGGTGGGTGATGGTGGCCCAGTTGCTTTGCTGATCTAGTGAAAAAGAAACTCTTGATACAAAACTAGGGAGGAGTTTGCTGTATTTTTAGCACTGTTTAGGTCTTTTGAATATTCAAGCTACTTCACCAAAATTTTGTATATAAAAGCTCATCTAAATATATCTACAGAAAGAGCAAGTTACTGCTAATTATCATACCGATAGGAAGAGAAAATTTGCCAAATGAACACATCCAAAGACTTAGCCTTAAGAAACATATAACAACAATTATTCCATCTTTCCAGTGGTAAAAAAAAATCACATTTTCTATAACAGATTTCATCTTTAAGCATGCAATTAAGAGCAAATCAACTGAGTAATATTTAATTAAGGCAGTGGTGAGCAACCTGAACCACACATGAATCCCCCACCACAATTTTGTAGATCCCAGGGTGCCTTCAACTCTGATTGCCAAAAATGGATGAAACAGCTTATAGGTGGTGTTGGGCCAAACGCCATCCTCTCTATTCTATCCTCTGAAATAGGTCCTCTCTATTTCAAGATGGGAACTAGACAAAAACGACAGCATACAATAAGTCCAAAAACAGGCTTAACTGTTATAAAACAGACTCATGTGTATATGACATTGTCTCACCTGTTCTAAATCATCAACCCAATCAATGTGGTTCCAAAATCATTTAAGTGCAAACCCCAGGCACTCAGTTAAGGCCACTCACCCATACTTTATAGGGGTAGATTAAACAATCAGCTCTTCTTTTTCTCCCTTCCCCTCACCTTTAGCCTCATGTCACGGGAATGTCTCTCAAGCTCCTTGCGGAAGTCCTCACGGCTCAGCTTGTCCACATCCAAGACGGAATGCTTCCATTCAATCTGCTCCACACTGTGTGGATCATGGGACACACACTGGCCAAGCTTCACCTTTTTGAGGGTATGCCAACAGCACCGATATGCCTCTTCATAGTCAAAAATAAGCTCGCTCAGTGTGCGGAAGGTGGGAGCTTTGTACATGAGATCCTCACGTCGACTTATGCCAAGCGCCCCATAGCGGCCCCCAATGTTCACTCCCAGCACAATATGGTGGAAGTAGTTCCCTGAGAAGTAAGTTTTGAAACTGATGGGGAAGCGGTCCAGTGTTGGCATGTTGTTGGTGAGGTAACTATTGATGATGAAATATTCAGGAAATAGGTGGTATAATAAAGAAAAGTAATGAACATCACTATTATTTTTTTTTACATATTTTAGGCTTAATTCTTATCTCTTATCAGGTTAAACTAGCATGATCGTAGATTTGAGGAGGTACATCTAAAACATCTGAAGGATTAGGTTTTTTTCTATATGACAAAATACCAAGCCTATTTTCTCTATCTATAGATAAATCTCAACTGAATGATGTCCAGAACCATCCATGTATTTGGATCTGGCTTTGGTGCATCAGATTTCTTTTATTAGTCTTCAAGTTTATGAGTTTGGGCAGATCTAGCATCATAAGGACAATTCTAAGGTTTATAATACAGGTCCCATAGCACCCCCTAACACTAATTCTAACACTAATTCAAACATACAGTGCAGTGAAAATCCTATTCCAACTGCACTCACAATGTTACAAGAAAAGCAAGGGAAAACCTATAATTAAAAGACATACTGGGACACAAGACACAATTCTCTCAAAACAGGATGCGATTCCTAAATTTTTAGTACAATAAAAAAGGAATCTGCCAGTCAAGTAAAAATATTCCTAATTAGAAAATGAGGGCATCCCTTGTGTTCGCTATTATGCTTCTTGTCTAAAGCAAGAAGAAAATTAAACGGATAGTATGCATATTATGAATCAGAGCATAAGTACAGTAGGATTGATGTGTTATCTCTGGAAACTGTGTACATCCATTTAGTCTTCTAAAATAAAAGGATACATTCCTAGGATCACAGCTTCCAAACACTTGATTGGCAGGGCTTCCTTTGTCATTTCTTTGGCCAGATCCATCAGCCTATGAGACAAGTCAAAGGAACAAGCAATAATAATAATATTTTAAAGGTTTTGTCAGATAATATATAGGTGGAGATCAGCCTGAAGAGAAAGAAAATATAGAATATGGAATATAGAATAACAGAGTTGGAAGAGGTCTTGGAGGTCTTCTAGTCCAATCCCTGCTTAGGCAGGAAACCCTATACCATTTCAGACAAATAGTTGTCCAATCTCATCTTAAAAACGTCCAGTGTTGGAGCATTTACAACTTCTGGAGACAAGTTGTTCCACTGATTAATTGTTCTGTCAGAAAATTTCTTCTTAGTTCTAGGTTGCTTCTCTCCTTGATTAATTTCCTTCCATTGCTGCTCCCAGGTACTTTGGAGAATAGCTTGACTCCCTCTTCTTTGTGGCAGCCCGAGATAGTGGAACACTGCTATCATGTCACCCCTAGTCCATCTCTTCATTACACTAGACATATCCAATTCCAGCAACCAGTCTTTATATGTTTTAGCCTCCATTCCCCTGATCATTTTTGTTGTTTTTCTCTGTACTTTTTCTAGAGTCTCAACATCTTTTTTACATCACGGTGACCAAAACTGGATGCAGTATGTGGCCTGACCAAGGCACTATAAAATGGTATTAACACTTCACATGATCTTGATTCTATCCCTCTGTTAATGCAGCCCAGCACTGTGTTGGCTTTTTTGGGAGCTGCAGCACACTGCTGGCTCATATTTAAATGATTGTCCTCTAGGACTCCAAGATCCCTCTCACAGTTACTGTGTTTCCCCAAAAGTAAGGCCTACCCCGAAAATAAGCCCTAGCTTGATTTTTGGGTGTGGGCCTAATATAAGTCTTACCTCCAAAATAAGCCCTAGTTTGGGGGCGAGGCACACACTTAAAAATCAAGCTAGGGCAGCCAGGCCTCTCCTCGCCGGCCCACTTCTTTTGCAGCATCTTCTGCAGCTTGGCCTGCATTTCTCAGTCACAAGCCTTTCCGGAAGGCCTCTGCAGCCAAGAACCGAGCTATGGATTCAATCCATAGCTTGGGTCTGCAAGACCTCTTGAATCCATAGCTCGGTACTCGGCTGCAGAGGCCTTCTGGAAAGGCCTGACTGCAAAACGCAGACCGGAATGCAGCTGCAGAATGAAGCTGCTCCTTCAGCCCCAGAAGTGGACCTGCTAGACGGGGCTGTCAATGTCGGAGGTGAGTAAGACATCCCGCAAAAATAAGACCTGGTACGTCTTTTGGAGGCAAAAAAAAAATAATTAGATCTGGTCTTATTTTTGGGGAAACACAGTACTACTATTGACTGAGGTACCACCTATACAGTACCTGTGCATTGGCTTTTCTTGCCTTACTTTTTTCACCACTGAATTTCATTTTGTTAGATAGCACCCAATGTTCAAGTCTGTCAAGATCCTTCTGTATCTTAAGCCTGTCTTCTGGAGTGTTGGCTATTCCTGCCAGCTTGGTGTCATCTGCAAAGTTGATGAGTTCCCCATCTCTCCCCTCATCCAAATCATTGATCATTGGTCAGATCATATGATAGGAAATAACTGCTTAGTCATTCAAGAACAGAAAAGAAGTCATGATGGATAGTTCGCCTTCACTTCATATTACCAATACTGAACTCAACATTCAGTAAAAATTTGTCTTCCAAACCAGATTAAAGCTTTGGTATATATTTAGAATAATTTGAGTATAATCATATAGCACTGTATGTTTAATCTCTATCATTAAATGTCTCAGGTTAAGAGGCCCAAGTGTGGCATGCAGTGGAGGTAAACTATATGAATGCCATTGCAATCAGGAATAATAAGCACCTCCACCCAGTGGTGAGATTCAAATAATTTAACAACCGGTTCTCTGTGGGGAGGGGCGACGGGGGGGCACTGCCAGGAGGCAGGTGGGGGAGTGGGGCAGCTGCCCCATGCTCCCTGTTTACCATGCCAAAGGGCCCCGCAGCCATGCCTACCATGCCCCGACACTTGTCACACCTTGCCTGTTCGGTAGTGACTTCTTCCACTTTCTCCTTCTTCCTCCTCCTTTGAACAACCCTTCACTCTCATTGCTGCTTTTGCAGTCCCAGATCTCAGTTTGTCCAGAGCAGTGGTGGGATTCAGCCAGTTCGCACCACTTCGGTAGAACTGGTAGCTAATTTTCTGTTGCCCAGGCCCAGAATGGACTTCCGGAAGTGGCATCCACACAGAGAACTGGTTGTTCACATATTTGAATCCCACCACTGATCCAGAGCCTGTGCAGAGGGCCTTTGGAAACAAAGCTCCACAGCGATTGGTTTGGGTGGGAACATTCCCTTCGCTTTTGGACCAGCTCCGAAATGGGCTGGAAGGAGTGGCCCGAGGACACCAATTTGGCTTTGCAGCAAGCAAGGGGATTGGAGGCGCATGAATGAACGCCAGTCTGGCATCTCAAAACACCGGGTCTTTTTCCCGGTGCCGGATTTTCGCTGCCATACTATTTAAGGGTCAAGGAATGCATGGGCAAGCTACAGGAGACCTCGAGGCTCATCGCACTGGCATTGCCGCTTGCTGCAGGAGGCCGCGAGGCTCGGCGTGCGATCTGCACAATGAGCCTCATGGCCTGCTGCAAGTGATGGAACCGGCGCGATCAGTGCGACGATCCTCGCAGGGTGACAGGTGAGCATGTAGCAGGCGTACACAAAGACTCCGCTGTTTTCGGTGGCACTTCTGTGCCTGGCCGGCCACCTCCGATCAGCTGCAGTGCGCCGTGGACAGCATGGTGGACGCGGGGCAAGCGTGAGGCAGATGTGTACGCGGACTCTGCTTTTTTCAAGTGCCACTTTAACAACCGGTTCGCCGAACTGAAGATACAGTAGGTATCGGTTCTGCTGAAGCCAAACCAGTGCAAACCGGCTGAATCCCACCACTGCCTGCACCCATATTTATCACATCATCTAGACACCAATTATGGCTATGTTGCAAGAGTTTAGAAATACTGAAATGTACTGAAGGACAGAGCAGGTCTGGGAATCAAGCATAAATTGCTTCTTTACCAGATTACATAACATTTTTGCTGTGGCTGTTTCATTGATCTGCAACTAGAAAAAAATTGTGCTCTTGTAATAGGGTTAGGGTAAGAAAAAGAACCATTCTCAAGAAAGATGATACTTACCCAGTCAAAGGCCTGCTTTTCTTGATTTCAAAGAACTGTGTCCCAGTGTGATTGTATCTGGGAATAAGAAGTTAAGGGATGCTGGGTTTGGAAGAGCTGCTGGAGGAGGGGGGGAAAAGAAAGCATAAGCAAATTATTAAAAATATTGATAGATGTGAGTGTGTGTGTGTAGTTTTCAGGGACTACAGTGCACGCAGTAGAAAAGTTTAGCTTTTCTTTCACCAATAATGACCCCCATAAAATACTGCTATCGGTGCCAGTGAGTCTAGTTGCAGCCATGCACACTCAAAGCACTCCCCGTTTTTTCTACAGTCCCAGGATTTCCTCCGTGCATTTGGAAAGGCATCAAGGGAAATGACTTTTGAATGCTGTATTTCTGATGTAGCAAAACAAACGTTGAAAAGTTAACTCTGGCCTGCTTACAACAATGATGACCGAATGCCAAGGGAATAAGCTAAAGGAAATGAATAAGGCAGTAAAGCCACTGGCTCTAACAAACACCAGCCTCCTGAATGAGAGAGAGAGGGGGTGGGGGGGAAGTTCTTTTCCCAGTATAGCTGGAATATTAACGAATTATTTCCTTCTGGGGTTAAATAAGAAAGTTGCTTTGCTTCTCTTTTCATGCCTTGGAGATTCAGATACAGCAGAAAGGATACTGAAGTTCCCTGATATAGCGCTGTATAGTTTCCAGGCGCTCAGGGATGAGAGTGGTTGACTGTAGAGTAGGCACACTTGGTATGGGGATCTAAAGATAAGAAGGGAGAGAGAAAATGAGATTCAAGATCACCAGGTCAAAGATGAAATTCCATTTATATTCTAGTTGAAAGGAAGGAAACCTGTAGCACTCCAGAGGCAAATCAACTGCAACTTCCAGCATCTTTCATCATAATTACACTGTTGGGAGCTGCTGGAAGATGTCATTTATTAATATTAAGATTGCCACAAGACTGCCTGCCTCAGCCTATTATAGGTAGTCCTCCCTTTACCAATTGCCTCGTGCAGCAACTGTCTGAAATTACAATAGTGTAAAAAAAACAAAACTTTGTGACAAATCCACACATTTATGATCATTGCAATGTCCCATGGTCATGGGAACACCATTCCTGTGCTTTACAACTGGCACACATTTATGGCCACTGCAGCATCCCTCAGTCATGTGATCACTACTTGCAAGCTTCACAATCAGCTTGTGACAAGCAGAGTTAATAGAGAATGCAGAAGTAAAACATAAGCTGCGGTCATGTGATATTTTTCACTTAGTGACCACAGCATTTTGCTTAATGACTGAAGGGGAAGCCATTTGCTGCCACAAGGATTACTTGTAGTAGGTTAATGATAATAATCTACTAATAATGTCTAATGATAAGTTAGCAAAGAAAAAACTCTAATGATGATAAAAACTTTTCTTCCATATACTCCTTTCTCTAAGCCAGAACAATGCATTCTAGAAGTGCTATATTACAACTTCATTAATTCTAAGACGCTTTGGAATTGTGGGAGTTGTAGTTAAACTCATCAGGACTAATCAAGCTAAGAATAACTGTGATATTTTAACAATATACAAACAGAAGGGCAAGAATTTGGCATGGTTCATCTTTTTTGACAAACATTTAATGTAACATGTATAGTGTCAGAAAACAAGGTGGAAAGTTTTGAAATATCTGAACATGAGATATGTGTTTATTCTTCAGAACAAAGTACATTAGGCAATTTCTGAGGAATGGGAAAACACTCTTTAGTTCTAATAAGAAATAATGAAGAGTCTTTCCCAGCTGGGCCAGTCCCAGATATTTGATTTCTTAAGTTGTCCTCTTCCAATATCCCATAGCCAAGTTATTTCAGCATTTGAAGCAGAAAACCCCTTAAGCACCTCCATCTTCCAAGCAAGAAAAATGTATGACAGTCAATTGGTGGTAAACTGCTATCTCTTTTATATCATCCCAAACTGGCTGCCACTTAACTCTGCCGAAAGGTACACCTGGCCATAACTCCCAGTTAGCAAAGTTACAATCTTCTTTGCAGAAGGTATTTAGAGAAGCACATCCTGGTTGCCCTTAGATTAACCATTCTTTCTACGGCTCCTTTTTTAAATGGAAGAGAAATTCTCACTGCTTCTCTCCATCTTCTTTAGCATAGGACATATGGAGTTCTACATAATATAATGGAAACCACTTAAAATGTGTAGGTCCTGTGGCTATAACTAGCTTCGCATTTAAGCAACTAAGAATGACGAGGAATTAATTACACTGTATATAGACCACCTGGCCCTTGAACCCAGACTAAGTTAAGATTTCCATCGTATCAAGGATTCCAGTTCTGTCCCTTAAGAGACGGAGAGGGCAGAGTGAAAGACAATAACTTCTTCCTCTTAACTCCAAGCTAATTGAGATGCTACAATAACACTTTCTTGTGAGATTTCCCTGCTATTATTTATTCTATCAAAATGTTATTAGCATGCAAACAGTAATTTGTAAAATGGAAGCTTTTTGGAGGGGGGAACTATTATTTTCTTTTAAAAAGAGTGTGAACTTCTAGAATATATTGCTAAACAGAAATTGTTAAACAGAAATGTTAAAGATGTTTTGCATTCCACCAACTGCTGAACTCCAACTGCCCTTTCCACAATGTCTTGAAAGGAACTTTCAAAATTATGAGATGCTACCGACAGATTGCCTTACCATATCTTAGTCTATATATTTGTAGATTCCAAGCCTAACCAGTTGATATTTAAAGAAAGAAATGCAAACTTGCACAAGATAGAGGAATTACACTAATCTTTTCAGGTATTATACTTGAATGACATTAAGTCTACATAAAGCCCATTTAGGAAGATGTAATTCTATTGTATTAGTCTTCCTCACAAGGCAAGGTGTGTGTGTGTGTGTGTGTTCTGCTTATGCTTAAACATGTAAAGATGTTCTTGAAAAAAGCCTAACTCCTAGGGATTGCATCCATGCGATTCTCTTGGTGACATTAGAGAAAACATTTACAGATAGTCCTCAACTTACAACAGTTCAAAGTCACGACTTATGACCATTGCAGCATCCCCATGGTCATGGGATCAAATTCAGACGCTTGGCAACTGAGTCATATTTATGACAGTTGCAGTGTTCTGGGGTCATGTGATCCCTTTTTGCGACCTTCTGACAAGCAAAGTCAATGGGGAAACCAGTTTCACTTAACAATTGTGTTACTAACTTCACAACTGTAGCGATCTTGGCATACAATCTGGAAAGTGTGGGAGCAAGGAATGTGTGACTGGGATAATAGGGCAGAACCAGCATATTTGGAAAGCTGAGATCATGTAATGAATAGAAATGTGACCAAAATTATTAAACTGTTTTTCATAAGAAGCCAAGCTGATGATGTTGCTTTCTGCCACCTGTTGCAGTTCTCCCGAAATGATTTCGATTGTTCCACTATTGTTTTTCTTTTTTGATGGGGGGATCAGAAAGGCATATTTTCAGACAAAATACCAGTCACCATTTTTAAAATAATGCCTGTTCTTAGCTATGTGACACTTGGAAGCATAGTTATAAAGCAAATGCTATTTCCATTTTCTGCATGGGCATATCAGAAAGCAACTATCATAGACAACATCAAGATTTACAACATTTAATGTTGGTAAATACCCAATGAAAAGACAAAGCTTCACTGGGAATAATTACAATTTAGAATATCTTTGCAGCAAAGATGGAAGAAGTAAACTAAAATTCTGTACAGTATCCAAGATACCTCAGAAGATATTCTCTATTTATAAGAACTTTTAATTCCAGAGAATGAAGTTAGATCAGTGCTCTAATCATTACCAAGTGGAAAGCTACTGGAATATGCTTAATTTCAAATGCTAGAAAAATAATGCTGAGGATCATCCGAAACAGATTAGAGACTTATGTGGAAAAGGAGATGGCAGATATTAAAGCTGGCTTTAGAAAAGGAACACAAATCGTTACTGATACACATTGGATAATTGAGAAAGCCCCAAAATAACAAAATAAGCCAGTATATGCTTCACTGATTATAAAAAGATCTTTGATGTATGTCAACCATATCATCCTCTGGAATCTCTTTAGGAAAATGGGAATGCCTGGACAGCTCATTGTCCTCATGCAAAACCTATACAGGTAATCCTCGACTTACAACAGTTCATTTAGTGACCGTTCGAAGTTACAACGTCATTGAAAAAAGTGACCTATGACAGTTTTTCACACTTACAACAGTTGCAGCATCCCCTTGATCACGTGATCAAAATTCAGACGCTTGGCAACTGATTCATATTTATGATGATTGCAATGTCATGGGGTCATTTTGCAACCCTTCTGACAAGCAAAGTCAACGGCAAAGCCAGTTTCACTTAACAACTGTGTTACTAACTTCACAACTGCAGTAATTCATTTAACAATCGTGGCAAGAAAGGTCGCAAAATGGGGCAAAATTCAGTTAAAACTGTCTCACTTAGCAACAGAAATTTGGGGCTCAATTGTGGTCGTACGTCAAGGACTCTCTGTACACAACTTAGGAAGTCATAGTCTGGACCAAGGGTCTGGACAGAACATAATGAAAAAGACTGGCTCTAGGTCAGCAAAAGAGTGAGATAAGGCTGTATACCCTCCCATTATTTATTTATTTATCCTATGTGCAAAACATATATTGAGAGACGCTGAATTGGAAGATGAAAGTGGTTTTTAAATCAGCTGAAGAAATGTCAATAACTAACACTATACCTACGTCAATACTCTTGACGGCTAAAGATGCAAATAACTTGTGAGTTCTAGTCATGAAGGTCAAAGATGGATGGATTCAGTGACAGCAATTATAGAGATACTATTGAGACATCTAAAGAAACAGATTGGGGCAGATTATTCGGTGAAGATCTGTCCATGCAGTTGGTCACAGATGACACCAACCTGATGTCACATAATTAATCAAGCTGCAAGCACTGCTGTAGTGCAAAGAGTTCCCTAAAGGCAGCATAGTGAGTATGCTGTGAATATTCAAACTCTCCCATTTATCTCTTGTAGTGCTGACACAACCAGTTAGAAATCTATATGTGATTTCCTGTCATTGAGTCACTAGGCCTGCCAGACACCCATATCTGACTCAGAATTTCGGGCTGGAATTTATCCAGATGCAAATGTCTGCAGAACAAAGCCTCCTTCCTAGGCTTTGGAAATGTGAAGATCTCGTGTTCTAAGCATCCAGACAGCACAGATAGTATTACATTTCAAGACATCAAGGAAAGACAAAGCTTGGCAATAAATGCACAGGAATAAAATAAGCCAAATTCAGGAGCTGCAACATGGTCTTAAGCAGCAGAAGATACAGAATGTATTTCAGTACTGCAATGACTCTGAAATGCAGCCCTGTTCATTCCACCACACTCGCCTGTTAGTACAAATGACTCTTTTTGTATTCACTGCAACCTTCGGAAGACTTCCCCATATCTCCAAGATGAACAAGTGATAACACAGGACAGTACTGGGGGGGGGGGAGCCTTGTGGAGCAGGTTCACTCTTTCCACAGCAAGCAGCTCATTTGGGCACTGCTGCACGACAGGAAAATTGCTACCAAGTCAATTCCTATAGGCAGAAACAGGATCTGGCTCATGATACTCTAGAACAGCGGTTCTCAACATATGGGTCGCGACCCCATTTGGGGTCGATCGACCATTTCACGGGGGTCGCCAAGCAAGGCTGTCCGCCATTTTTTTCCCTTTTCCGGCGGGTGCCTTACCTCCCTTGAGCTGGGCCAGCTGGTGGTCGGCCTGCTCCGTCTCTGCCGCTTGCCAGCTACGCCTCGGCCGGCGCAGGGGGGGGAACCACGCATGCGCGGTGCTCCCGGCCAGGGAAAATCCTCGACTTACGACCGGTTGGGTAATCCTCGACTTACGACTGATTTAGTCCTCGGCTTACGACCGGTTGGGGGTCGCGGCATTAAAAAGGTTGAGAACCACTGCTCTAGAAACCATGACTTCAGTGGATACGGGGAAACCTGCTAAAGTTAATTACACAAGTTTGCCACAAGTCTTTTGCATTTGCCCAATGGTAATTCACCTCATGGAGCCAAATAATGATGATAACAACAATGTAAAATTTATATGTTGTCCCAACAACTTAGTGAAGTTTGTTGAGCTGGCCAACTTAGCAATGGCACCACAATCCCCATGTTCAGTCTTTTGAGGACATAGAGTGCTGAGCCAGTTGAGTGGCCCCTGGGCTAAGCACATATTTAAAAACAGTTATTTGAATGAATATATAACTTGTAGGGCTGCACAATTATTTGGATTCAAAAGGGAATAGGTGGTCTGGTGCGCACATGGGCAAGAGTCCCATGTGTGCTTGCACACACTCTGAACCATCACCTTTTCCTCTTCAAATCCAAAGTAATTCATAGTCCAATGTCTTGTAAGTGAAGTCTCTAATAGCTGAACAGATTTCTTCCATTCTGTTTAAAAAAGCATAACAAAAATGTAGTTGCACGAAGAAAAACCAAAAGGCAGATAGATTTATTTTGATTATTTGAACAGCCTGTTCTCAGTTTCTGCTATCATTGTCAAGACTAAGCAGGTTATCACATCAATGCATTTTCAAAAACGTTCTTTGCTAAAAGTCCCAAAAGTGCTTTTTCCTTGCTGAAAGCCACCAACATCAACAGGTCTTTGCTATACCGCTCTTTGCAGGAAAAGACTACATTTTGTCCAGTGTAAGCCAATTATTAAGAGCTGACACAGTCTATATAGCAGGGGTCTTCCAACTTGGCCCTTTTATGACTTGTGGACTTCAACTCCCAGAATTCCTCAGCCAGCGTGCCTGGCTGAGGAATTCTGGGAGTTGAAGTCCACAAGTCATAAAAGGGCCAAGTTTGAAGACCCCTGGTCTATATCAAGTGAATTGCATTCTATTTCCAGTTTTAGCAATACCTCTTTTCATTTGCCTTTTCTAAGATACTACTTGCCTTTACCCATTTAACCTAGTCATTTGGCATTATTGCTCATCATGTACTTTCATGAAAATAAAGTTTGAATCACATACTATAACAGTCTTCTGCTGATAAACTGATCTTAACATAGATAAGTAGAGTCTGGGACTCCCAGAACTGTCAAGAAGCATAGTCAAAAGGCAAAGCTGAAAAGGTTACACTATATTTGATGGAAATAACCCAAATGTTCTTAACCTTTCCTTGTTCCTCTTAACTTGTTCCTCTTAACTTTGGCAGTTGGTACAAGCCCCATAACACAGTTACACAACTTTTTATTTACATGAGCTAAATAAGAAACTAATTCTTATTTAGAATTCAGATAAAGTCAATCAGTTCAAATTATACAGTCAACGTCCAGAAATAAAGTCCTCCCTTTTGTGCGCTCTGTATAGCAAATGTGGCTCTGAATAGCAAATTTAGATCATGTTTTCCAGGATGGAAAGACAAAAGTAACACTTTCCAAAATAGGAAACTGTCTAAAGAATTGCAATATCCACATATTATTGACTCAAAACATAACTGGCATGACCTCATAACATGTAAGTATCTCCCAAACACTGTAGGTTTAATGTGACAAAGAATAACATTAATATACCATACAACATAGACCTATAGTCAAAAATATCACTTCAATCCAATGTTAAAAGTACTTTTTTTCTAAGCTGCTTTCCTCAAAGCTGTTTCTTTCTTAGCCTCAGATTCTTAAAGCTAGTTATACTATTTCATAGAACTCTTATAGACATAAATCATAATACAGTAGCCATTTAGATAGAAAACCAGTAGCAAATCACATGGCAATAGGCTACTCAAAATCATCATGGAAAAAGGTTATGATAAACACTTTCATATTTATGCAAATAAATCTACTTAGATATGTACAGTTAGCAAAAACTAAGCTTAACTTAGTGGCACGTTTATGAGTTAAACAGATAAATTAGATTATGTTTATGTGGAGATATAGATGGATCCCTCCCACTTGCAACCTTAATCGGTGATTCACATCCATTTATTGTCAGACTCAAATTAGAAAAGCCCTGGCATTGATTTCCAGTTATTTTTTTTTTTCCTATTTCCCTTTTTGTTGACTGATGTCAAGGAAGCAGTTTCCTCCAACATTCTTTTTCTGAGTCCTCTCACCTTGGGTAGATCAGTGGCTCCCCGGATCCTCAGAGCTACTAAATCTCCCTCAGGATGGATCTTGGCCACATGTTTCCACATTCTTTCCCAGGTGGCCTCATTGATGGGAAGCCCTCCACGGTTCACAAAGAAAGGGACTCCTCCATCTCGGAGATCTTCATCTCCATCTTCTTCTTGCTCTTCTTCTCGCTGGGCCACCCCTTCCCTGGCCTGGGACCTCCGCAGAACAGCAACACCACCGCCGCCGCCACCACCGCCATCCACTTTGCAACCTGACATCCCAGCATCCATCAAGCTGTTCTTCAGACCACAAAACCTTTGGGCCCCTTCAGATCGCTTGAGACCGAAGAGCTGCTGCTGAAGACATCGTGGTTAGACAGTGGAGGCCCTTTAAGACAAGACAGACAAAAGGGTGGGGCTCATTCATAGAAGAAAAAGAGAGAGAGAAAAAAAGCGCAACAGCAACAATGAGGTTTTGAAACTCTCCAGCAGGGAAGGAATGAGGCTATTTGCTTTTGGGAACTTCAGAATTTCTGCTCAGAAAGAGACCACCTTGCTCTCTCTCTCAGGGCCGCAGAGATAAAAAAAAAAATAACACCAGGTTCCATCATCCCGGAGAAAGGAAAAAGAGGGATTATGAGGATCTGGGAACACAAAGCTCACTCACCTAGCTGGACATCGTCGGCTGGTGGCCACCAGATCCGGGAAAGCATCCCAAGAGCAAGAGGGGAGATGCTGGAAGAGCCGGAGAAAGGCGACCTCCCACCCAGCCACCCACCCCACGCAGCGGAGAGAAGAGAGGCAGACAAAAGATGAAGCAGCCGGCTACAAGCAGGCGGGCGGGGAGGGGGGCGCGGGCGTGAAGGAGGCGGCTTTCCTCGCGTTTCTGGGCGGGGAGGGGGGGAGTCTTTTCATGCAGCCACAGCCCGCCCGTTGCAAGGCAGGTGAACTCAGCACGGGTCACAATGCGCTGTCGCCGGGCAAGGGAGGGCGACGGAAGCCAGGGCTGCCGCCGCCGTCGCTCTAGAAACACGGGGGAACCCCGCGGGGCTCCCTTTTCCCAGGCAGCCGCGCGGGCCAGCCGGAGGGACAAAGGTCGGCTTGGCCCGAGGAGGGGGGGGGGGGGGGAGAAGCTGCCGCTCCCTTTGCCGCTTCTGCGAAGGGAAGGGGCTGCCGGGCGGCGGCGGATGCCAGCGACCGGTCAAGCTGCTGCAGCTGCGCCAGGCTCGCTGCCTTGAAATCCTCCAGGCGGCGCCTCAAGGCCTGAGCGCAAGAGAGCGAGCTTGGCGTTGCGGGAGCTTAAGCGCGCAGGGTAGCCTCGCTGGGTCTCTCCCCTGCGCTCCCCCCCCCGCCGCCCCCCCGCGCCGCCGCCAGCGACAGGAATCGAACAGTCCCTGCGCATGCGTGTCATCCTATCAGCAGGGGATAGTTAAAGGGACAGAGGCAGACGGAGCGGGCTGCCGGGCTGGTGGTTTGATAGGGACCAGGGACAACCTGGATCAGGGGTAGGCAACCTTGGCTCTTTTATGACTCGTGGACTTCAACTCCCAGAATTCCTGAGCCAGCCATGCTGGCTCAGGAATTCTGGGAGTTGAAGTCCACGAGTCATAAAAGAGCCAAGGTTGCCTACCCCTGACCTGGATGGTTGGGAAGAAGAGGCTGAGCGGCGCTTGTTTCCATAGCCTCCTTGGCAGGTCACCTGTCTTCCCCCGCGACCTTCAACCTACTAAAAAAAACACTATATAAAAGATACATATGGGGGGAAAACGAAGAATGAAGAATAAAATTCAAACGTGCACATTGAAATAAATCTATATAAAACAAAAACTTGGGTCTTACAGAACAAATGATAATTTGACTGCATCATGGAACAATATTAGATTACCCACTGTCAAAGGTCTAATTTTTTTGTAGAAAATCAACTCATGTTTTCCAGCCTAGTTCTTCAATTAAGTGTACTAGTGTCATTTTGATGGAATAAACAACTATATGTAGCCCATATATTCATTTTTCTTTGATCCCAAATTATTGGAATATAATATAACACCACATTTATATCCTATTTTAACCACAACATATCAAAGGCTTTCTCCATATCTAACAAAACAGCCATTTCCAAATGCAATTAATCTGATGTTATCCTAAATATATCAACTATAAGAGAATTGGGAAGGACCTTGGGGCCAATTCTGCATAGTTTATTGGATTTGGTCAGTCTTATTAGGAAAGACTCATTGAAAACAAAGCAGTTATCTTGCACTGTTCTAGGTGCACACATAACTGCCTGTCCTGCCACATTCTGTACCATCAGCATCAACAATATTATTAATAACAAGGCAGTTGAGAAAATTAATGGTGAGATGTTCCAAGAAAGCTGAGTGATGATCATAACAAAATAACTTTCCGGGCCTTTCTTTTTCCATTCGGCAGAAGAATGAGACAAGTTTTCTTTGTAAAGAGTTTTTGTGGAAATGTTCTGTAACTTTTCAGTGTTACATTTTATTCTTGTTATTGTAGTTTTAAGAACAAACTTCTCAGTTTCTCTTGCTCCATATATGGTCATCTTGGGTTTTAGAAAAGGACCTTACTACCTGCATATTTTATTCTTTCTTGTTCTTCTACACTTGAATTTCCCTCCTTGCTTTTCTACTATTATTTTAAAGCAACCCCAACTTTACTGGATCTTTTCCACTACTGAAGAATTGCAATCTCCCAGATGGAGCTCAACCAAGATTGGGCCTTTACTTGAACGCTCACAGCTATCACAATCATTGACCAATCACACCTCTCAAAACATCCAAGTCTCTCACAGCAATATCTGAGACTGTCCACCCCATCCCAGAGCATATATTCTCTCAAGCATTCAGCAGCTCATGAGAGGTCTGAATCTCCGGCAGCTCCCCTGAGCACCTGAGTCATGCCACAACTCTCCCTGCTTAACCACAATCAAACAAAGATTTTTTAAAAATAATGTAGTAAAAGTTCCAGTTCTTGAGTCTAGAGGAGAAAACAAATGGGTAAGTGTCCATGTTAAAAGTGTCCATGTTAAAAGGATCTCACAGTGGACAAAACAGTTTCATAGGTGTCTCCTTCCAGTCTGGCACTGTTCCCACAACATCAGCACAGCAGTTTGTTGTGGCTTATACATTTCCTGTTCAAATAGCTCCACTTCCTCATTATTATTATTATTATTATTATTATTATTATTATTATTATTATTATTATTATTATTATTATTATTATTAGCAGGTCAAAATCTTTGGAACATGAGCAGCGTCTACATTGTATAAATAAGAAAAATGCTATTGTTTCTACAATTTTCTCTCCTGTGTTTCTATGGTTCCATTGTTTCTATCACCTGCCTATACAAGATATACATATCAAAATACTGTAACGGATAAAATGTGGCAAGGTAAAGAGAGAGATGTTTGTGTTATACTTCCTCCAATTCAATTTAAAATAAAACGTATCATTGGCATTCATCCTGTCTGCAAATGCTGATTTTTCACAACATACTTAAAAGAACTTTATCTGAGATATTTCTCTCTTCTTTCCTTGTTTTCATTTTATGTCATGTCTTCTGACAGCACCCAGGAAGGGAACAGTGTGATTACTGATCTTCATAAACCACCCCCAACTTCTTTTTCAGATGAACAAAAGGGCAAATGCTTTCCATAAATAAGCAATAGTAGGCTGCAGTCTGAAGAAGACTAGGAAAAATGTTGTCTGTTCATGTATTGGGCTATTTTGTTTTCTTTAATTGTGGTTTGAACAAGCCATGGTAACTAAGTACATATATTATACTAAATCAAACAATCAAGCTACAGGGGCTGAGTGCAAGATGGGAATACAGTCAATGAGATCTGGGCTTTTCTATAAATCTATTCTCTTACTTACTTAAAGTTATTTGGCATTGTTTTCTTCTCGGAAGCTTTTTCAAATTCCCAATGTAAAGTAGTTTTAGACTTTCCAATAGTCCTCTATTTGAGTACTAACCAAGAATGGCAAGACTTAATTTTCTAGATCAGAGGTCCCCAACCTTTTGGGCACCAGGGACCAGTTCTGTGGAGAGAGGTTTTATTGTGTACTGGAGGGGGTGTGGTTTTGTATGCTGCCTGCATCCTGCCGATGGGGCTTCGCTTGTTTGAACGGACCAGTTTCTGGCATGCTGTGGACCGGTGCTGGTCCACGGACTTGGGGTTGGGGACTTCTCTTCTAGATCAACCAAGATTGGTAGAGTGCTATCGCTGATATCTGGCAGTCTTTAAAGATCTGATGTGCAGAAATGGATTTGTTGGCTAGTAATTGAAATGTTCCCATTATAGTGCCTGCACCATGATCAATTTATGCAGCATGGTGCATAAATAAAAGTAATTACAAAATAAAAGTAAATAAAAGTAATTACAAAACATCAGTAATATGTCAGTGGATTCCTTCCAAAAGAAACAAAATCTTGATAAAGACTGTACCCTGAAACTTCTCACTGCATATAGAACTGCCAGTTGTCTTGGGGTCCCAATAGAGTGATTTCACATTGGGGGTGGTTGATAGATTAACAACAGATTTCACCCCTCCCCTTCTCATCATACTCCCTCTCTCCCCATCTTTTAGCTAGGTTGATTTTTATAGTATTGTATTTATATTATTGGGTTTTATATATTGTTTAATATTGTTAAGCTGACCAGAGTTACCATGTGATAAGATGGGCTACTGATAAATTTTAAAAGCAAACAAATAAATAAAAATGAGATGATGTAACAGATTTATACCATGGATTCCATGTTGCAAGATAGGTTTTAAAATTAAAGTGTTTAGGATTTTTCAGGAAGAGCAAAAAGGACTTCTTTGCAGTGGTGCCAATTGTCTACTATTTGATCCCAGGATATGTTACGGTAATAAGAACCATTCGTAGCATGAAATTGAGAAAAATATTTCTGACCTAATATCCAAAAGCTCTGTCATGGTTTTGCCTAAGCAGTCAGCTGCTACTCACATACTTTTCTTCTTGTTATTGCTTATGCACAAGCCACAAGAATCTCAGAAAAGAAATACTTCTCTGTTAATTTAATCAATGGAATTTTTTGTCAAGCCTCAGAAAACTTGAGGAAGAAACTAAAGTGGCAATTCTTGTACTCAGAGTCAACAAATTTGATGACTTTTCAGAAATGGAGCATAAAAGCTGGGATAACAAATCTGATGCCCGAACTTCTCCCCTTTGCTTCTAAGCCTGTTACAAACATGGCCTGCTCACTGCCCTATCTCCACGACATTGTCCTCATGTAGTTTGCATC